CCGAAATTGGTTGGTGTTTGCCTCCACGCTTTACTCGAGTTTCTTCTTGTTATTTTGAATTCTTATACGTGTAAGTGATTCTACTAACTGAGATTTTAATTCGGAAATTACTCTTAAGAAGCATGTTGTGTATCTTTTCATAAGCCTGGTACTATATAAGATAATGAAACGAGAACTAATGTGGAGCATTGTTAATTTGTGTGTGATTTGCATGTTTTTATCGTTTATTGCATGTGCATTATTTCATTCAAGAATTTAGGGTGCATTGAATTAATTTCAGTGATGGATTAAGAAAAAAAAAATTAAAAGAAAAATAAGAAACAGAAGCTTCTAGAAGATGAATGCCTAAAGCTTGGACAAGGAAGAAAATTTATTTCTCGGAAATTCAAAGTCAAATCAAGTGGCCTAATAGTAATTGAAACGGTAGGAGCAGGGGGAAAAAACCAACAGGAAACCCATTGTCAAAGAAACAACTACCACTATTATTGTCAACAAAATAAAAAATAATAATAATATTATATTCGAAAAATCAAGCAAGCAAGTGTGAATACTTGAAATCTAGGGTTTTAAATATTCAAGAAGACAGAAAAGTTGTGCAGAAACCAGAAGCCATAGCCACCAACTCTGAAACTTGAGACTTGGATCCAGTCAGTGATGACTGCATCCTCAAAGACCACAATTGCCAATTGGTCTTCCTGTGCTATCATATTATATACATCACAGACATACTAGGTGATCTTGTTGGGGGTGGACTTGCATGTAGACTAAATTCTACTGGGAATAGGTTCTTTGAGAATTAGCTAATAAAATCATTCTTGCTTGCGAGGCTTAAGAATGTTATAGTATGGCTTTCGTTCACCATATAATAGACCTGCTAGGCAGTCTTAAAAATAGCCGTGGTAATGCTTATTAGTAATCTGCCAACCCGCCCATCTCTTCTTTAAATTAGAGGGTTAGACACCTGATTTATTTTTGCAGGTTCTAAATGAGTGTCCACTTGATTGATGATTTAATTACTTATCTTGAATGACCACTACCACCTCGCCATTACCACCAACACCATCACCCCGTTATTACCCCGTCACTATCACTATTGTTATCGTCGTTGTCACCATCAATACATTTGGTGGTACTGGTGGGTTGGTAGCGATCGCGACAATAGTTGTGGTGGGTGGGATAGTTACAGCAACGTTGATGGTCGTAGGATGGTGATAGAGGCAACAAAAGTGGTGGTTATGGTGGGGTTGGTGGCATCGCTAGTGGTGGGTGGTGGTGAGTGTAATGGTGGGTAATGGTGGTGGTGGTGGTTGGCACCTAGTGGTGGGGGGGACAACACGGTTGTGGTGTTGATGATGGTGCATTTTGATTATTTATTGTGTATTAATGAATATAACCAAATTGATTATGACCAAATTCGTTTTAATCTATTGATTAAGCATTTTGAAATTTAATTACGCTCAACTCTCTATTGATCTGCCTACACTGCGCCCAACCCCCCATTTGCCACTTCCACCCACCGGCCACCAACATCATGGATATTGACGGCCGTCAACTAGTAAGGAAGGAAAGGAGACGGAAGGAAACAGACAAGAAAGTCTTATTTAACCACTTATCACATTACACTACATCAAAAAAAATTTGTGCTTCAGGGCCATTGTTTATATTATTGGTTTATTAATGAGATGGCGCAGAACTGACCATCGCAGCTCTCTCAAAAGTCAGACCTAATTCAAATTGTTTGGGAAAGCCTAGTTTATAGTTTTATTTCAACTCAAACTATATTACCCCAATCCAAATTTAACAGTAATACTAGACCTAAAAATTACCTAATTTATTGATATAACGATGTAACTTCATAATAATTATTAGATCAATACCAAATTCTAATATTTGATGAGAGATATAATTGATTTAAAAATCATAATAAATTAGATTAATAAATTATGTCAATAAATTAGGTCTTAATAGCATCGCTCCCAGATCTAAAAAAGCCAAATGATCCAACGAATCCCTCACAAAGTGCAGTTGTGACATTTGTCCTTGTAGAATTGGCAAACCTGGCCAATTCTTCCTCCAATCAAAAAGTTACATGTCAATTCTCTGCAACCACCACATGCAAGACTGCATAATCAACCAATCAAAAGGGTTGAGGGCTAATCTCACTTTGCACCTCAAATATATAGTTTGATTTTTAATTTGTTCTTTTAAATATTAAAAATTTTAATTTGAAACCTCAATGTTATGAATTAATGCAAGTACTTTGAACATGGACTTAAGTGTAAATTCACAAACTATTAGCGTCTCATGTGAGTTATACATGATAGGATTAACCTCTATTTGAATAATGAAATCCTATTTTCGATACACTAAATGGTGTCAAATTAATCGCAAACGAAAATCTACAACGATTGACATATCTCATCATCGTGCTCGAAGCACTTGCACCTCAAATACTTCAATTTATGATACAAAATTGAATGATATTTTTGAATCAGGTTTACATTGTTACCAATTCATAATATTCAAGGTGTAAATTAAAAATATTGGCAATACCATGATGAATGATATCAAATTGATCTATGATATTGTGAGCACCACCAAATGAAAGAGTATAAGCGTGTTTTAGAAATAATAACATTATATTAGCGATAGGGAATGTATTCAACTATATTCATGGGAAACCAAAACTAGCTCACTTCATCAAATAGCCATATAATCTACACCGATAAATTCCTATTTTTTTTCCTCTTTTTATGAGATTTACAGTTGGATATCAAGACATATTGATGTATGTATTTTGTCCTGTTGGACTCGTACAGTTTTGCTCAAAATTTTGCTACTACACACCAGGGAGGTATGAGAACGATTTGCATCAAACCAATGGTGTCAATCTTTCAACGGGCAGTACAGCCCTTAAATTGAATACAATTCTGGTGTAGCATTTTTATGTCATGCATGATGTTATTAAGCCTCGAGAACTTGCCATAGTCGACACAAAAGAATAAGTTTTATTTTTAAAGCTCGAGGCAAAAACATATGCGTTTCATATTAAATATGAAGTAAAGTTTAGAGGACCGTGCCCAGAAGGTACCAGACTGAATAAAGAATCTTCACCGTGAACTACCAGTTAGTGTTCTTTATTCTAACTCGTCAGCCCTTTTAAACCCAAGACAAACAATTTGATTTTCTTTTTTCTTTTTTTTCGAACAGAGAAACAGTTTGATTACCTTTTCATAATATTATCATTTATCAGTCATTTGGAATTTGAAAGAGCGCCACAAATATTGCAGTGGGAATAGATTTTCCTGACGCTGTATTTCTTTGAAGGTTCAGCAAGTGTCCAAGACACCCCTTACAGTCAAATTTGCTACACAGATGTTTAAATAATGCTTCAATCCAAGAATTTATATTCCAAGATGTCTTTTCAGATTATATCAAAGCCTCGGATAAAATTCAAGGATTTGATTTTGTATCAAAAGAGACGTAGAAAGTTACACCTAAATATATAATTTCTTGGATCAAGTTACAATAGGAACAAATTGATGATACACAAAATTGATTATACACAATCAAATCAGTCGAGTGTATAATATAAAGCAATTAATAATAAAAGACAAAAATTTGATGGTTAAGTGTGGATGACTTAACCACTAAAAACGACAACGGTAGTCAGAGAACTCTATTAACGAAAAAGTACAAAATATTAAGAAAAAAAGAGATAGAGTGCGCTCAAAGTGAAGTATGTACAATCTACCCCCATATGCAAGGGAGGTTTATAATTTATAGGCGCAGAACTCTAACTAAAACAGTGACGTAAAAGTTAAGATACTAGTTTACCAGGAATAATAACTACAATTAAAAATAGGCATTATCTTGAATAATGACTATCCCGATAATTTCACTCCCACGTGCTTAACTCTTCCTGGAGTTTTGGACGTTGAATTAGATTGAGGGCAAATCTCACCTACTTTTTGATAATTTGAGTTTAAACCATGAACTGGACCAAGCATAGTTGAATTTGAGCTCATCACAAATTATAAAAAAAAAAAAAAATCATTGATCTAAAAATATTAATCAGTACTAAAAATCATTGATCTTAAAGGATCCGCTTTTACCTACTAGTATACAGCTCCACCATCTTATCAGTCTTGATTAGGAACCCAGTCTTATTGGGTTCTTGTCGCCTTGAGCTTATTGTAAATTGCACTTGAACGTAGACATAAAAAGAAAGTTAAGTAGAGCGACAATCCCTCGATCAAGCTCTGAGAGCATGTAAAATTATCTGACTCGGCACATTTCAAAAATCAATGTCCAAAGCTTAACTGACAAAATCCTCCTCAGTGTTCTGCAAGTTGGATGTAAGAGTAGAGTACTCCTTTTCTTTCATTTTTCAGTAGATACACAATGTGCTACTCACATCATAGTTGTATATCAGAATGAAATATTCTATTAAAAACTAAAGTTTGGTATATTCACTTCTAGATGATTCAAAATGGATCATTCAACAGAGATACTAGTCTGTAACGATAAAAAAAAAAAAGAGATAGTCTGTGGATGACCTATCTAAGCAGAAAAAATGTGGCAGAGAGAGAGAATTGACTCAAAAAAAAGCGTGCCCAATCAAGATATCAGGTACCAGATGCCAAGCAAACCTGGGGAGCAATTACAATCTTCTCCTTCCCTGCCTCAGCTTTGATATTTCAAGATAGAAATGCACAAAATGGTTACTCTCTCATCAATACTGGAATTGGATCGTTGATGTTCTAATTGAACACCCCTGCTGAAAGGACATCCTCATTGTATTGCAAAGAGAAAAATACCAAAATTAGATTCATGTAGCAAAAGAAGTACATATCAGCTTCATGATTATTCACCAAACAATGGCAACAAGTCAGAACACCACATCACAAAAACTTATTGTTTATTTACCAATTCAAAAGCGCATACATCAAAGAAAATATAAGCATGTATGAGACTAGACTACCAACCTTTAGCAGTGGTCAGATGCTAGTAAGTCTTTCACAAACAGAATTCAAATCTGAGCCTCCCTTAATGCTGCACATGGCCGGAAAATGTTAAGAGCTACATAACAAAATTATAGCCCAAAAACACATGACAGTCAAGATACCAATGCTGAAAGAGCCCTCAATCTATTCTTAGATTATCAAGGCTCCTTAGCCTATAGAGCTTTTTCATTCAGTTCACTTCACTAGATTCTGAAAATTGCACCCATTGATTCATAAAAACCCACTGCAGAATATATGATGATATTTTCACTTCAAAGACGAGATCTCTATTTCAAGATATAATCATGAACCATAATAGAGCATGCATATTGAGAGACCATGAAACACGGATACTCTCAAAAAGGTGGCATATCCATGTTGGGCACCGACACTTCTCAAACATGTATTCGATATTCTTTTATCCGTATCCATAATTAAATGATAAACTTTTAATTTCAGACACGTGTCCGACACTTATTTTGTGACATGCCTAACACTTCTTTAAGACATGTCTACTAGTAAACAATAAACATGTGATTGATTAACAAAGCTTGAAAATTTGACTAAAATTAACCATATACTATGAGAGAATATATAATTACGAAGACTAGGCATGTTAAAGTTGTACTCAAAATATATAAATAAAAGTAAAAGATGCATATAAGTTTTAAAAAAGAGGAATTGTGAAAATTAGAGCAATTATTTAAATTATACATGTTGGGTACATGTTGTCTACAAAAACATTTTATGATTATTGACTATTATGATGCTTCAGTCTAAATATTCAAGCTAGATGACTAGACATAACATTCATTTATCATAAAGTACTACATTTTTTTATGAGTATTATATTATTATCACTATATTTGCAATAAATAATATATCCGTGTCCGTGTCCGTGTCCGTGTCCGTGCTTCTTAAGTGAGAGATCTATCAATAGAGACTTGGCACGTGTGGAAGAAGACTTGGTACATTAACAATACTGACAGGTAACTATTAGAAAAGGATGATACACCCACTTGTACAAGAGGTCTCCACTAGGTGCCAAGTTCCTGCAAATCCAATCTGGGACCAGCTTCTCTAGAAGCTCTAACTGGTCCTCGACCTCCCCTGTGCGAGAGAAAGGAACAATGCTCCGGCATTTAATTTAAAAACATAGGAGGTTGGGGGTTGGGCTTGGGGGAACAGAGGCAGCAGTCTACATACCTCTCTCAACAATATCACAGTTCTGAATAATTATCTTGTGCATGAGTTCCTCTTTTGTGATTGAAGAGCAGTTGACAGACCGAAATATTTGGTGAATCAAAGCAACAAGATCAGATAAGCTAGCAGATAACCGCTTTTGTAATACCAAACCACTCGGGTTGATCCTGTGGTCCTTGGCAGAGCAACAACTGTTCACCTCTACCTATCACAATATATTCTGCAGTTAATTGCATAAACAGTGAATACAAAAATAACAATCCATCATATATTTACTGAAGAAAGAGCTAAAAGAACATCTACTCATTTTGTTAAGGTCATAGTATAACAAAAAAAAATAACTGAAAATAAATAAAAAATAGGTTTAAAACGTCCTACTGCCACACTGTTCTATCCGTGAAGGCTAACAATGTCTCATTGACATCACAACCGTTGATTGTGCAAGTCAAAATCCACCCAGAACAGCCCGGCAGAAAACGTCAAATGATTGGCTAACTAAAAAAAAAGAAGAAAATAAAACTTCCATATAGACACAGGATATATGATTACTTTCGAGTTCTAGAAAGTGCCATATGAAGTTCCACTGTGTTTTCAGAGTAATGAAACCACTCTGCTGAAAAATTGAAGAGTATAAGACAAGAGTTTTGTGAAAGAGAAAAAGGCCATTTATTGGATTTGAAGAAGTTACAACCCAGTTCTATGACCTTATTGTGTGTTTTTTTTTCCTTTTTTGGGTAAATATGACCCTATTTTGTCAGCTGTTCGTATTTCGTTCATTCCCTCGAGCCACGGAGGAATGTATGGTTCCCTAGTAGTTCATGGGACCGACGCTCACAGTTCCTCATTGATCTGGGGAGAAAGGAACTGTCCACCATTTGGGAAGCTAAACATCAAGTAACTAGCTTGTATGCTAACGACAGATCAGCTACTATTGGTTTGTTGGAAGTCAAGTCCTCGTTCTTCCCTAAGAAGGGGGTTCCACAAAGTAAGGATAACGAGCGCTCCACCAGCCAAGCGGGCAGCAGGAGCAGCGAGCAAGTGCTTGGTAGGCCAACAGCCCAGTGAACCAGGCGGGGCACTCGATGGAAGGGGGGCACACTGAGCAAGTACAAGAAATTGGCCCCGCTCTGCTTTCCTAAAAGCAAGAACCACTACGGGAGGTCAAACCAAGGACCTATGGAAGTCGGGGCTTGCCCCCAGTCAATATTGGATCAAACAATAGGATCGTAAATTAACTCTTTTAGGTACCCCAACTCTTTCAATTGAAAGGACAAAGCAAAGAACATATCTATACATTTGTTTGTCCAAAAGTAATGAAAACTGCACTTGTTTTTTTTTTTTTTTTTGATATGAAACAAAACTATTAAAATAAAAAAGAGAGTTACAAAGGAAATGTCAAAGGTGGACAAGTTGTACCAACCAAAGACACAAAAAACAGAAAAACATTGGAGAAAAAGCCCCAATCAAAACAAAACTGCTATGTGCAAGAAGCAGTCCCAAAGACCTTCAATCTCCTCTAACTGCACTTGTTCTTTTTCATTACAAAGATATCCTTCGTTTGGTTCCACGCTTATCAGTTATTGCACTTGGATTTGGCGATTTTGAGTGCCAAAGCAAATAAATAGCACCTGTTCACTGGGTTCTCAATCTCTGGTTCTTAGTGAAAAAACTGTCTAATGGGTGAGGAACAACTATCTATCCAAACTTTTTAGATTTTTATGTTCCAGTCATAGGCTTCCTGGTCTCACAATCTAATTCTTCAACGTAACACACTACAAAGTAAGCATTCTAGCCGTTATTCATTACTCATTCCACTTATACGCAGAAAGTAACAATTTTGATTGATAGATTTGCAACGAGTTTAAATCAAGGATATTTGAAATTATAAGTCCAGACTGACTGAAAGATAACAACACCGGCGATACGACAAAACCTAAAAAAATAAGATACGAGTATAGCTAGGATATGTTTATAAAATAATATATTTTATGTTTATATTATTATTTTGTGACTTCATAATTATAGTTTTCAGTATATTCATTAAGAAAAATGAGAAAAATTAGCAAATTTTACTCTCAAAGTAGTATATATCATCTAATTGTGGTATATTTCCAAAGCAAATGTCACTAATTAAAGGAATCAAAATCTACATTTAACTATTTAGTTTGCTTAAAAGTACTTGTTGTCAAGAGATATGTTATAGTCAATTCATTTATGCTCATTTGACATTTATAGTAGACAATACTCAAGAAGCAACCATATATGTTTAAAGTTATATGAATTTTTCTCTGTGTTGCATCATATGTGAATTCGATATTGTTAAGAAATATAGGGTAGTATGTGTAAATTGTTAATAGTAAGAGAGTGTATGTGTAATTCTTATTACTGTAGGTTAACTATAAATACAAGTGATGTATGAGAGCTAGGTTAAGTTTTTTTAACCTCTCTCTTTCTCTCTAATATTGTGTTATGTTAATTCACTCAACTTAACATGGTATCAGAGCTATATATGATCATAAATATATATTCTGAATAAATTTTGTTCGTAGAAGTGCTACTATTGTGGTGGTGTTGTACTGTTCATCGTGGTGGTGCTACTGTGTTGTTTGCTATTGTTTGGCGGCTTTGATCGTGGTGGTGTGACTGTGGTTTGTTGTGGCTGTTGTGGTGGTTCATCGTTGGTGGTAAGGCGTGGTCTGTGGTGGTTGTTGTGATCGCGTGGTCTGTGGTGGCTATGTGGTGGTTCATCGTCGGCGTGGTCTGTGGAGGCTGTTATGGTGGTTCATCGTTGTTGGAGGCGTGGTCTGTGGTGGTTGTTGTGGTGGTTTGTATTCGGTTCGTGGTTGTCGGTGGTGAGGTGCAGTGGTGAGGCGCAATTGCAAAAGTGGGTTTTCTAAAACCCTAACCAGCGAAGAAGAAACAGCCAGACCCGATTCACTTCGGGTCAACCCAAATCTAACCCAATCCATTGTTTGGCTCAGTTCAAACTAATTTCAAACCGGTTTAGCCCGGTTCAGTGCTTCATCAAGCAAAACCGGCCCGATTCAGTGCTCCATTAAGCAAAACCGGCCAGGTTCAGTGTTCCAACAAGCCAAAATATGCCCTTTTCAATGGCATTGTTGTCTTAGGCATCCCTCTCTCCAGAATCTGAAACGCCAAGTCCCCAGTCTTAGTTATGTGTCGTCTTTATCTTGTGAAGCTTGTCAACTTAATAAGCATCACCGTGTGTCATTTCAGTCTAGAGTCAATAATCGTGTGTCTAGTCCATTTGAATTAGTCCATTATGATGTATGGGGTCCAATAAAGAATATTTTATCTAATAAATATCCTTATTTTGTGACATTTGTGGATGACTATTCTCGTGTGACTTAGTTATTTTTGATGAAAGCTCGATCTGAATTATTCTCTATATTTGAAACTTTTCGTAAGGAAATAAAAACTCAGTTTGGTTGTCGTATACGTACTTTACGTTCCGATAATACTCAGGAATATGAATCTGATCATTATTCAACTTATATTAGTAAAACTGGCATTATTCATCAAACTTCTTGTGCTTACACCTCTCCACAAAATAATATTGTTGAACGCAAGAACCGTCATTTGTTGGAAGTCACCCGTGCCCGTTATTCCAGATGAATATTCCCCAATATTATTGGAGTGATGTTGTTCTTACTCCTTGTCATCTTATTAATCGTATGCCCTCCTCTATGTTAAATGGGCAAAGTCCATATTTTGTTCTTTTTTCTAGTAAGCCCTTATTTTCTATGACTCCTAAGGTTTTTGGTTGTGTCTATTATTTTCACAATTTGGGTCCTGGATTTGACAAACTTGACCCTCGAGCTACCAAATTTGTATTTCTTGGTTATTCCCGCACGCAGAAAGGGTGTCGTTGCTACAGTCCTTCTCTGCACCGATACTTTACTAGTGCAGATGTCACATTTAAAGAATCTGTTCCATACTTTCCAGCACCTTCTCAGTCTTTAGATTTGGAATTTGGATCCCCTCCTATACCACCATCTCTTTCCTTATCTTCAGATATTCCGCTGCCTACTGTGTTACCATCTACTTTACCTCTCCGTGTCTACTCTCGCCATCCTCGCCCATCGACTGAAATGCAAGTACTGTCTTCCTTGCCGCCTTCTGATCCTGGAACTTCAGGTAATTTAGATTCTTTACCTATTGCTTTTCGCAAAAGTACTCGTTCGTGTGTTACTAATCATCCCATTTCTCATTTTATTTCATATGATGCCTTGTCTCCTGTCTTCTCCTGTTTTACATCCCAATTATCTGCTATATCTATTCCTAAGCATTTATAGGATGCATTATTTAATCCGGGTTGGAAGAAAGCTATGGAGGAGGAGATGGCTGTTTCACATCATAATAGGACTTGGGATCTCGTTCTTTTACCCTCTGGTAAACAAACTGTTGACTGTCGTTAGGTGTATACTATTAAATTTCACCCTGATGATTCTGTGGAGCGTCTCAAAGCCCGGCTTGTTGCAAAGAGCTTTACTCAGACTTATAGTGTTGATTATAAGAAGACTTTTTCTCCTGCTGCCAAAATTTCCTCTGTTCGTATCTTGATTTCTCTGACTGCTAATCTTGATTGGCCCTTGTTTCAGTTAGATGTCAAGAATGTCTTCTTACATGGTGATTTGGTTGAAGAGGTCTACATGGAGCAGCCACCTGGGTTTACTGCTCAGGGGGAGTATGGTAAGAGTGTATGTCGATTAAAAAAATCTTTGTATGTTTTGAAGCAATCACTGAGAGTATGATTTGGTAAGTTTTCAGATGCAGTTTTAGAGTTTGGTCTTCTTCGGTGTCAGACAAATCATTTTGTGTTTCATAGGCAGGCAAATGCTGGGTATGTTCTATTGGTGGTCTATGTAGATAATATTGTGATTACTGTAAATACTTTTGAGGGGATTACCAAGTTAAAAATATTCTTACAAGATCGATTTCATACTAAGGATTTGGGAAAACTCAAGTATTTCTTGGGTATTGAGGTGGCTCGATCTAAACAGGGTGTTTGTTTATCTCAGAGGAAATATATACTTGACATACTTGAGGAAGCAGGTTTGCTCGGTGGTAGACCGATTGATGTGCCTATGGATCCGAATCAAAAATTATTGATGCATGATGGTGTATTGTTTGAGAATCCGGGTCGGTATCGCAAATTAGTTGGAAAGCTTAATTATCTCACTATTACTCGACCGAATATTTCATATGTAGTCAATATAGTAAGTCAATTCATGGGGTGTCCTAGAGTACCACATTAGGAGGCAGTTACTCGTATTCTGCGATATCTCAAACGAGCTCCTGGACTTGGACAGTTATATTGAGCTAATGGACATCTTAGAGTAAAAAGTTTCTCAGATGCTGATTGGGATGACTCTCCTTCTAATCGGAGATCAACCACTAGTTATTGTACTTTCTTAGGAGGTAATGTTGTCTCATGGAAAAGTAAGAAACAATCCGTGGTAACAAGATCCAGTGCTGAGGCTGAGTATAAGGCAATGACGCATACAACGAGTGAGTTGACTTGGCTACTACACTTCCTCCAAGAAATTGGGTTTTCAGTTCAACTTTCTTTACAGTTGTTCTGTGACAACCAGGCAGCTATCCATATCGCTGTCAATCTTGTGTTTCATGAGAGAATCAAGCATATTGAGGTTGATCGTCACTTTATTTGGGACAAGATAGTAACTGGGGAGATTACAACTCCATTTGTGAAATCTGAAGATCAGCTTGCAAATATGTTTATTAAAGCATTGAGTCGTACACGTCTTACAACTATTTATTCCAAGCTTAGATTATATGATATATATAGTCCAGCTTGTCAGATATGAAAGGCTAATAATAGGGTAGTATGTGTAAATTATTAATAGTAAGAGAGTGTATGATACTGTAGGTTAACTATAAATACAAGTGATATATGAGAGCTAGATTAAGTTTTTGTAACCTCTCTCTTTCTCTCTAATATTGTGTTATGTTAATTCACTCAACTTAACAGATATGAAAGGCTAAAGATTAAAACAAAAACTATTACATATTGCTCCTCATATTCACTTCCATGTCCAAAGCATAACCAATTTGAATATGTATCCGCGAGTATTCAAATATTTTATTTAATATTGAATACGTGTAACGTGTATCCGATACGTATGCGATGAGTATTGTATTTGATACGATATCCAATAAGGATACATCGACCTAAACAAAGTATCTGTGTTTCATTGTCCAGAAAAATTACAAGAGAAGTTATTGAACTGCAAAACAATGTTAGCAAATAGTGAACTATAAATTGTACCTCCTGGAGGGGCGCATGAGAAGAGGATACATTGCCTTCTACAACTTTGTACTGCTCTATCTCATCTGTGATGGAATTCAGAAAACCTTCTTCACCTTCCAAACATGAAAAGTTTAAAGACCTCTTTGCAGACATGTTGCATGGTGTCCGATCTGGGATTGTCATGGTCTTGAGCTTGCCATCAGAACTAGGTATTGATCTCTTTGGTGTCGACTGAACAGGCGTTTCGACCATCAAATGACCAGCTTCCAACTGAAGCTTCATGGGAGTGTTTTCACATGTGCCAGAGCTAAAATACTGCAGAGGATATGTCAGTTCAACAGGGTTTGTGATGATGGTGGGTTGGGAACATGGATTAAGAGATGTTTTCAGCTGCCAGATTCCAACATCCTGATTACTCCTGTAAACATCTCCAATAGATGAAAGAGAAACTGGAGATATAAAATTTTGGGTCTCTGCTACAGCATTCTTCCGAGAAAAGTGTTTACTGAAGGATGGATGTAGGCAGAATGAGTTTATTGGCTTAGTTTCAATGGAAGTTGGCAGAGATTCTGTCGACAAATGCAAAGGCAATGAGTCTGAAGGCATGGTAATACTTCTTTGGTTAAATGGCTCTGGCAATACTGCCTCAGGGATTTCACAGCCCTGTCTCAGAAAAGCAAAACTATGATTAAAATAAATCTATATCATAGGTCTGTCTAAAATTTATTCAATAATCCAACTAACAAACACAGATGCAGGAAGATGGGCCTGATCTTGGATAGGATTTGGATAGGATTTGAGATCCTAGATTAAGATCCACCTAATCATCTAATCTCATTTATCATATCATATTAGCCTGGCATATTTGGTCACACGCAACAAACTCAATAATCTGTTTTATTAGATGGCACAAGGCAGTGGTGGATGCTAATTTGTTATCATCCATGAAAAAATTTACTTTTTGTTCTGAGAGCATATTTTGGGTACTCAACTCAACTCAACAAATCCTAATCTTAACTATTTGGGGTCGACTACGTGAATCCTATTTCTCCATCGCTCTATCAAGGGTCATATGTTTTGTTAGACCACAAGCTATCAATATTCTTTGTAATCTTGCACAAAATTCAAAATTAATAACATATCAAGTAATTGGTCACCAAAAAAGATACTACAAGAACTCTCCTTAAAGATGCAGTGGGTATCTCAGTAGTGTTGATAATATCTTTTCATTATTCCTAGTATCATCATGGATTACATGCATTAATCGTTATATAATCTTCTCATGATTGAGTAAAGATGATCTCTAATACTTCTAAAGAGTGCTTTCAGAAAATAGAAATGAAAAGTAGAAAGCATTACCTCAGGATGAGTACTGCAGAAATTATAGAGCCTAGAAGCAAAAACTTTGCACAGAGCTATAAAATTAGATTGTTCATGATGACCTTCTACGACATCAAATAGCAAAGAAAGTTTCAAGGTTGGGTTCATGCACATGGTTTCCTCGTCATGTATGAGGATCTTGTCAACCTGAACAGCTTCAGGAAGTATATGCTTTAACTGAGCGAGATGCCTGTAGGTAAATTTTCTGATAAAGAAAAAGAAAATACAAATAAGATTCGGTCATCAAAAAGGTGTAAAATAAGACACAAAAATGGTTGAGAGACCACAGTATTCTTGTATATTGCATTTTGCAATTTCAACTTCAGTGTTTAGCCATGGAAGCAAATATGAAATCATGAAATATACAGTTTTATTGAGCACATTTTGATGCAGGTTTAGCTGGTCTCCATGTAATATTAACTAAAAAATTGGGCACCATAGATTTGCATGACAAGCTTATTAGGATTATGACCAGTGATATCAAAAAGTAGACCATCATCTAAGAAGTACGGTTACGGATGTGAGACATGGATATGACAAGATGCACAAACGCGGAAAAGGAATATCAAAAAAGTAGGACACAAATAATTATGTTTAATATATGACTTCATATAATTTACTTCAAAGAAATAATTAGTTAAAATTGTAGAGATGGTTTTAGGGTTTGTAAGAGAGAAGAAGAATGCTAGGAAGCACGGATATTTCCCCGAAGGATGTCATGGCAATGTCGGACACATGTCTGACACAAACAAGGCCAGGACATGGCTGGACACAGGTAGAAGTGTCCGAAATAGTGAACTCAGTCGAACACAACTTGGATACCACTGGAAAATGACCAAGATATGGCTAAGAATTTTTTTTTATTAAAAAAAATTTGTTAACTATTAAAAGGAGTGTGATTTCAATTTTTTTTAAATATATTTTTTGTTATGTAACTTATATGCTATGAATGTTAATAGATTGTAGTGACGTTTGATGAAAATGGTAAATATGTATTTTGATCAATTTCAATTTAATCAAAAAAATAATATTTGTTAGGTCTTACTATTAATATTATTATAATATATGCTTTATTTTTAATATATTACAACTCTATTATTATTTAAAAAATATATTATATTATTTTAATAGTCATATCCTTACCGTAATAGTGTCCTATATTTTTGAACTTTGTCGTATCTCTGTGGATTCGACACTTGTATTACTATCCGTGCTTTCTAGGAAGAATGAGAGGCAAGACGAAAAAAGGAGAAAAAGAGAATAATTTGTGTGTAGGTTAGATTATCCTACACTCTCTTATTTATGATGAAGTAATATTATAATTATTACAATATTACTCTACACTAATTAACTTGTGTCTAATATAGAAAAAAAGAACTATAACACTTCCCTTCAAGTTGAAGCATAAAGATAAAAAAATGTCCAGTTTGGAACATAAACTACTGAAAACAAACCAAACCAATAGCTTGAATATCACCCAACTAATCACCAAACTTGATTTATGGAGTGATGGTCTCCTTTCGTATCAAGAGATTTCGAATAAAACAACAATCCATCTCAATGTGTTTATATGCTCGTGAAATACCGGATTACTTACAATGAAAATAGTTGTTTGATTGTCACAGTGCATCTTCACAGGAGAAGACACATAAAGTCCCATATTATAAAGTAAAGAAATGTAACCATGACATCCCAAAGTGCATCTACTTCTTACTGTGCCAAGTACCACTAACAAATGTGCAATGGCCAGAAGTAGATTGTCTATCACTATAACTCTCCCATCAACGTTAGAAAAACCAACAAAAGTTATGGATGATGATGATGGACAATATAGTAATCCATTCTCCAGAGCCCTTTTTAGATACTGAAGGATACGACAGATAGCCTCCCAACGAAGCTTACAAGAGGCATGGATGAACTGACTAACCACACCAATAACATATGTAATAGCATGGCATGTAACTTTAAAATAAAGAAGTTTACCAACTAATCGCTATACATCATCAAAAACTTCACCACTCTCAGGAACCAGCTGAACTATAAGATCTACTGGCGTATCCATCACATACACACCAAGAATATGATTTTCAGATAGTAAATCTAGTACATAGTTCTGTTAGCACAAACTGATACCCTCTTTTAATCGGGTAACCTTAATCCCTAGGAAACTAAGAATACCTACATCTTTAGTATAAAATTGCTTCTCCAAATAAGCCTTGAAGTGAGCAATACCATCTAAGTGATAATGTCTGCAAAAAGACTGACGAATAAAAACTGAATGATTTAAGATAGAGCACTGAAAACCAAACTAAAGTACCATGGAACTGAACTTATCAAACCATGCACGTGATGACTGTTTTTTGAAGCCATAAAGTGTCTTCTTCAAATAATACACTAATTGTTCCTAGCCTGATACAACATAACCTGGAGGTTGAATCATATATACCTTCTCCGGTAGATCTCCATGTAAGAATGCATTCTTTATGTCTAGTTAATACAAGGGCCAATCAAAATTTGTTGTAACAAAAATAAAAACTATAACAAAGTAAAGGTGAGCAACACGAGAGAAAGTCTCACAATAATTCACACCGTATGTTTGGGTGTAACTTTTAGCAACCAACCATGCCTATGAGCACTCAACAGAACCATCAGGTTGATAATTCATAGTATACACCTAACGACAACTAACAGACTGCTTACTTGATGGAAGAGAAGTGAGGTCCGAAGTATGTTTTCATGAAGTGCCTTAATTGCCTTATCTATAGTCCATGTCAATCCTTGAGATGTTAATGCCTATTTCACAGAGCTAGAAACTAAGAAAGAAGATAAGGTGGATGTAAAACAACAAAATAATGATGAAATTCAATGCAAAGAGACAAACTTAGAAATGGGGATGTTGCGTACAAGTATGAGTAACTTTTCACAATGCAATAGGCAAATTAGGCAACTTAGGAGGAAGAACCTCAGTAGAATCAAGCGTTAGTTGGAGAACCAGGACATATGAAACAACCAATCTACTCGTAGAACAATGGAAATGGAGGGTTAGAAACCAGAGAGGGAAAAGATAAATAATCTAGAACAATAGGCAATATGAGCTCCCCCTAACTCGTAGAAATTAAATTTGGGGAAAGAAAAGTTTCTGAATTAGAAAAAAAAAATGACTCATAAAAGGTGACATTAGTACTGACATAATACTGATAAGAGATGGGATCATACTAACAATAACCTTTTTGAGTACGAGAGTATCCCAGAAAGACACCCTAAACCGAACGAGGTGAAAGCTTATCCCGACTCGGACCAAGAAGGTGAATAAATGTAACACAACCAAAGACACAAGGAGTTAGACCAAAGGGCGATGCATCAAGATAGGACAAGGAGAACGGAGATTTGTTGCCTAGATAGGAGAAGGCATCCAATCAATAAGATAAATGACAGTGAGAATAATATTTGCCCAATAAGACTTGAAGACATGCATGTTAAACATGAGGGTACAAGCAACATTCAATAAATGGCGATATTTGTGTTCTGCAACACCATTTTGCTAGGATTTACGTGTACGTGTAATCTAATGAATGATACCATGATTAGCAAAATATATGCATAAAAGATTGTACATACTCAAGGGCATTATCAAAATAAAATATCTTAATTCATTTATCACACTGTACAAGGATTTCTTTATAGAAGGTAAGACAAATTTTAAGCAATTCAGAACGATCCTCTATAAGAAACAACCAAGTTATACGAGAATAATCATAAACAAAGATAAAAAATTAATGAAATTCAGAAATACTATTTTTTCTTAAAAGACCCAAAATATCAGAGTAAACAATAGCAAAAAGACTAGACTGACGCCTAGTACTACTAGTAGGAAAAGAACTACGGTGATGCTTAGCGAATTCATAAGCCTCAAATTTTAACATAATAAAAAGACTCAAACTAGGAATGATTTAACGAAGCTCTTCCAGTGAAGGATAATCCAATCGAAAATGCCACTAGAGGGAAGACACGATAGCACTCAAGGAAGGGACTGCTGCTCTACAATCCAAATAGTAAAGTCCATTTTGCTCATGCCCCAAACCAATCACTTTCTTCATCTGGAGAAAAAGTCACTAAACATTATAAAAACTTAATTAACCGACTCACAAATAACAAATTAAAGAAAAACTAAAGGACAAATAAACTAGATGCTAATGACATGAACTTGGTCGGATAGAGATCACTAGTCCCATATACTGATCTGAAAGAACCAATAGCTAAAACAATACGAGAGTTAGAAGAATAAAAATTAAAAAAAAATAAATAAAGAAATGATAAGCATGTGGGCACTAACTTCTAAATCAATAATCTAATATGGTGAAGCTGATTGTGCTGCCACATGTGCAAAATTACCTACAGTGATTAAACCAGCAATTGAAGTAGATGAATGGAAAGAGAGTGAAGACCACTGCTGGAGAAGCTGATTGAGCTGAGAAATAGACGTAGATGTGGCAAATCCACCGATCGATGACTGAGATACTGGAAGAGTCAGATTATCAGAAACCTAATTAACACAGGTAAGTCTTACATGTTTATCCCAACAATAATCTTCAATATGTCCAACAACTCCACAATAAGAACATTTTCACTCGGAATGATAGCCACGACCTGCACGACTAGTACCTCTACCGCCAAGATTACAACCTAAGGTTGGACTACGACTACCTCCATGACCACCATGAATACCGCCACTAGGAAAGCAAAGCTGAGAACTCCTATCAAGGTGAGGGAGTGCCACGGGTCAAAGAGGTTCTCTAAAGACGGGAATAAGTACTGGCAACAGTTGAAAGTTTCTCACTAGTCAAAATCTAATCTTTGAACACACCATATTCATAATTACGACTAAACAAGAATACAGTAACTTGAAACTCTTCACGTTGTCATCATTGTATCTCTAGATATGCAATAAATGGTTGATAAAGTAGAAATTCCACTCAAAGTGACATGGTGTCAACCAAGAATTTATTGTCTTCCTTGGTATTAAACTTAAGCTCAAAGAGTAAAGGATGCAACTTAGGCGAGCTAACCAGAACCGAGCCCGAAAACATCAATGTTTAGGTGGGCTAATCTAAACACTGCGCGGGCATGGCCCATCCTACCTCTTACGCCGCAGGCGTCGCCCAGACTGCCTCGCCTGTGCCCCCGGCCTTGCGGGCGTCGCCCAGCCTACCTCATCAGGAACAAGTCCAAGTCCAATCTAGCCCAACCGACCCCAACCTATGTAGATAGAAGGCTACTACTACTAAAGAGTTTGGGGACATATGTAGAGCTACAGAGAACTTCTTTGGACAAAAATCTCAGGTCCAACACATTCCTAATGAAATGGATGTAGCAGTAATTTGTTGAAAACTCAGAGTCTTTACTTGATCTGGGATATGCTTGTCCTTTTGAACCAGATATTTCAAAACCTGGCCAATACGAAATAGATCTTTGACGATCCTAAAGTAGTTCAGGAGGCACATGCATTGGATCACCATTGCGAAGACGGAAATCATGGCCCTAGCAGAAAACCATAACATCAATCCCTCAATCAAAAACTTCTCTTTTTTGGTGCATATCTTCTTTGTTCAAGAGCATAATGAAAACGTGCCTTGGACTAACAGAGTGATTGAAAGATCTCCCTTGGTACACTAGGTGGAATCTGGCCTTCTACTCTCGATTACTCCTTGATTACCTATGTTGCTTGCATTAAACGAGCCAAGTGGAGCATGCATGAAAGAGTGAGATGCTTATTCTATTCTTTTTCCTGCGCAACTGAGTCATCCTGAATTTGAACCAGAGATCTCGCCCATGAAGTAAATCATCACCTCTATAGTCCAACCAATTGGGAGAGAATCAATAAATTCCTTTTTAAGAAGGGAAATGACGTTGAGACTGGGCACGTACGATAAGTAATAAAGAAAGCAACAACCTGGCACCACCTCTGGCACCCAGGCCACCCACTCTGCCTCTACTCTCACGCAAGTAGCCTCTGTCTCTAGCTTAGTGGCTCTCTCACGAGTTGCCAAAAGCTCGGCCTCTTTTTGCCTCTACTCTTATGCAAGCAACCTCAATCTACAGCTTAACAGCTCTCTTACGAGTCACCAGAAGCTCTGCCTAACTCTGTCTCTACTTTCATGCAAGCAGCCCTAGTCTCCAACATTACAGCTCTCTCATGGGTCACCAGAAGATCGGCCTAACTCTGTCTTTATTTTCATGCAAGCAACCTCAGTCTCTAGTTTAGTGGCTCTCTCACGAGTCGCCAAAAGTTCGGCCTCTTTCTACCTCTGCTCTCACACAAGCAATCTCAGCCGTCTTATGGATCGCTAGAAGCTTGGTCTAATTTTGTCTCTTCTTTCATACATGCAACCTCAGTCTCCAGCTTAGCGGTTCTCTCACGAGTCGCCAAATACTCGGCCTCTTTCTACCTCTTCTCTCCTGCAAGCAACCTCAGTCTCCAGTTTAGCGGCTCTCTCACAAGTCACCAGAAGCTCGTCCTAACTCTGTCTCTGCTTTCATTCAAGCAGCCTCAGTCTCAAACTTAACAATTCTATCACAAGTCACTAGAGGCTCGGCCTCAAGAGGTGTTGCTCTCTCATAAACAAACCTCAACTTCTCCTCAAAAGCCTAGCGCGCCCGTCTTTCTTCCACAAAAGTTCTCGACACCTCATTAAGTTTGAGCGTCCTCGAAAAAAGACACGAAAAAGCCACAGCCATCTGCAAATATCCAAAAGCAAGAATGTTAGTATAAGCAAGACATACAGAAGACAAGATTGCATAGAAAAAAAGGGGTACCATAGCAAAGCCCTCCATCGTGATATCAATGACACCCTCAGAACCCCAAGAGCTGACCTCTCTAATATCTGAGGATGTCAAAAACCTCCAAAACTACTCCTTTGCAAAATTCACGTCCTACAGCATGGACACCGGGCTACTGCTGAAAGCAGAACAATTATGTGGAGCTCCGGTCCCAGTGGAAGTCTACACAGGAGTCTCAATCTCTAAAGTAGTCCTAGGACCAACCTTAGGACTAAAAGGGGTCGCATGCTGAGAAGGAGCAGGGGCACAATCAAACACCACCTTTCGAGAAACGGTTGGCCCATCAGACCTTAGCTGAGAAGCACTAGAGGCAGTGTTTTAAAATCCGGCCCGGTCCAGCGGGTCAACCCGAAAAATCGGTGAACTGGTGGCTGAGCCGGACCGATTCTTTAATTAGATCGGTCCAACAAATGACCCACTTGAAAACCGCTCAAACCGGTCACTTTTTAGGAACCCGTAAAAACTGGTCTAGTTTCCACAAGTCCGGTTTCCACAAATCCATTTTCATACTAGAGCTCAAACATAAAGAAACTAAACTTCAAGGCCCAAACATAACATATTCAAATCAAAATGCTTAGAGGCTGACGTTAAGCCAGCAATTATCGACCACTAGCTACAAGTGGAGAAGTGAAGCACTTTTATAGGCACAGATTCCTTAGAACCACCTGTGAATTTTCGATGTGGGATAGGTAATGTACTTAAACTCTCTTTGTTTTTTCTATCAATTTTTCTTTTGATTTTTTAGGCATCATATTATTACTATTTATACTAAATATTCAATATTTTTTAGTGAATTATTTTATGCTTGGTCATATTATATCAATTGTGTAAGCAAATTAATGATTTGAGGATATTTTTTTGTCTTTTTATTTCATTTACTATAGCATAAAATATGTTATTTTTGTAACTATTATAATTTTTTAGCATATTTATTATTATTATTATTTATTATTAATTATATGACCGGTTCGACCGATTGACCCACGGTTGAACTAGTAACCCATTGACCCGGTCCCTTTGCCTAATTAGTGTCTGGGCCGGGTTTTAAAACTATGACTAGAGGCATTAGATCTCACCCTATTAAGAAGAGAGAAAGTCGTCATCCTAGTGACATAGAGAGCCTTTACCATTGATCTATCAACTACGGGATCACCTGTAAAGTCTGAATGAAAGAGAGAATTTTCAAAAACCGAAGACATCATCAGTTTGCCTAGGTCCTCTATGGTGTCGGCCATGACGCCGCCTAACCTCGCGCCTCCTCTAGCTCCACCCAACTCTCTGGCGTCGCCCTCCTTAGTGCCGTCCAAGCTCGTCTCCCTTGGCGTCGCGCAAGTTCATCTCAGCGCCACCTAAGCCTCTCTCCTTTTCTAAGGCGCCAGTCGCCAAAGCATCTCCATATCCTCGTGTAGAGGTGTCCATGCTTCTCTTCATCCTCTCTCTGCTACTTGTGGAAAGAAGAAAGAGAATAGTACTGCCCTAGCTCTAATCAAAGAAGGGGATTTCTAATGTAAAGAAATGAAGTTTTCCTAAATTCAATGAGAGACTCAATAGAAGAATTTGTTTGCTAGCACAATGGGTCTCTAACAATGGCACTACCAAATGGAGAAATAAGCTTTGAAAATGTAATGGAGTGGAAAGCTGAAGAAGCAGTCGTGTGAAACAAGATACCTTGGTCTATCCAAATGAAGGAACTCATTCATGCCCTCGACCCCCTGGGGCTAGGGGCAAATAACGAGCCCAGATCCAACTATACTTGCGCCCAATTCATGGGTTAAGCCCAAGTTATCAAAAGGCAAGTCAGGCTTAACTCATGGCATCAATTCAATCTAAAACCTAAGAGTCCACGAAAAGTCAACGCACATGAAAGAGCAATCATCAAGATAGTCATTACTCTAAGATAATGCTCATCCTCAATTGTAACTATCATCCCCGATAAATTAATAACTTAGCCTTCACGTTACCACCATATCTACGACTCAGTGCCTATGAATTGTAAACCCCCTACACATAGGGGCAGATCTCACCCACCTCACCTTGAGCGTACTCTTACGCTCTCTCTCTCACCACCTTTACTCTCTCATTAATAGAGTTCTCCAGCCACCGTTGTCGTCTTCACTGGTTAGGTCTTCAAACTCAACCACCCAATCTTTGTTTCTTATTATTAACTGCTTCAGTAATTGTTTTACATCACACTCAACTGATTTGATTGTACATAAATCCACTTTTGTGCATCATCAAAATCATTAAAAATTGGGACAAGATATATGAATTAGTAGAAACTTGTAGAACAAAAAAAATTACATAGAGACTAATTGTTTTGTGGCGCAGGCAAATTCTTTGGACCAGTCTGTGAAAGTTTAAAAAAAAAAGAGAGAGAAAAGAAAATTTCGGGGCAGCAACTCTTTACAATTATAAGATCCCAGAGCATCTAACTTAAAGTTATTAGAAAATTTTCAAACCTTGGGGGCGTTGAGGCCCTTCCCCCACCCTCACCCTCACCCACAACAATCAATCGATCTATATGCATCCCAAGAAAAGAAAAAAAATGTAAGCAAGCAACACAAACTACCTTCTCGTCAATACTTCCACCAGGCTACAAACATTGTCAAAAACGTGTGACTTTTTACCCAGACTGAGCAACCTCAACGAGCAAGTCATACGATCGAACAACTCCAATAAGGCCATGTATCTGCAAATAAAAGCAGGAATCTGTAAATAAAATATTTTTTCTTTAAAAATTTAGCAAATGCGTCTAGCTAGTAAAATGTAGAACACCACTTTTCTGGAAGCTGGGCAGATTCCTTTTTGCTCTTAATGTGTAAAGATTCAGTTGTCTTCTCTGGTGTCATTGTTACAGGTAGAATTCCTTGTTCTTGCACAGGGATAGGATCAGAGGGCTTAAAATCGAAGACATTGTGTTGGCTTTCCTGGTGCTCATGCTCCATACTTTTGTTTTTCAATCAAAGAAAGAGTATGAACAAGAGTAAGTCTTGATTATGGCTGCTGTTTAAGTTTTGATTTTGTTTGCTGTTGGAATCTGCTTCACCTTTCAGCTTGTGTACGTTGAAACCCTAAGCTCATCCAGATCGATCGTGCTCCGGGAGGGAAATATCGAACTTAAGCACTTGACCCCATTTTCAAAATTTGTTATTGAAAAATTTGGAGGCCGGCGCCTCGTTGGCTTGTCGGATGATAATTGGATCGAGGAAACTTGTTTAATATTAATTATATTTTGATTTTTATTGTTTAAAATATTTTTATTAGTTATATTTAATTAAAATAAATTTAAAAATTAACGTCTAAATTTTAGGAGTTTGATTAATATTAAATTTTTTTTTATTTAAAAACAAAAAAATAATAACACTGAGTATTAATATTTGAGAAAATAACAACAGTAACATGTTTAACAAAAATAATAATATAAACAGTAATATGTCTGACAAAAATAGTAACATGCTCACAAAAATAATAGCATAAATATTAAAATGGTCAAAAAAATAGTAATATGGAACATTTAAAAATAAAAAAATAGTAACTTTCAAAATTAAAAACAATAACATTTAAATATATAGAAAGAGAGTATCAGTAATTTTTTGAATTTGAATTTAAAATTTATGTAAAAAATTTGTTGGCATATGTTTATTAATAGTGAATTAAGGGATAATAATTTTTAAATTAAGAAACTAATTTAAAGTTGCTTTTAAATAAGAATATTTTGGAGTTTAAAAAAAATGGACTTAACTATTTATTAGTAAGATTAAAAATGAATTTATCCCCAAATAAATTTTCTTGATGGATTAAATTCATTATAAGTCCCTTAAAAATGACTCAACCCCAATTTTTACTTTATTATACTTGGGCGGCTGGGCCAGAGTCCGCCCATGGTCTCAGTAGTTGTGTCCAACAAATGTGTTTCATGTCAAATTTCAACCCATTAAACTTTGAATCTGATTTCTAGTCCCAAAAAAAAAAACTTTGAATTTGATTCAGACCAAACCTGTGAAAGTTAGAGTCGCAGTTTAATTTTTTAAAAACAAAAAAGAATTGGTATTAAGTAAAAGTTTAAACTTTTTATGCTTTAATGACAATCTTAATGCTTTTTTATGTCACCCAGTCCAATCCTGAGTAAACTGAAATTAATTTTTTTTATTTACGCTATTTTCGCTTAAGTCTTTAACGTCTCTCTGTCTCCATCATCTTTAGAAAAAAATTAAAAAATTGAGGTTTGAGAGCAGTTGATTGAAGAATACTAATGACAAAATTAAGATGGTAATCGAAGAGAGAGAAAGGGAATGGCTCGTGGGAAGATCCAGATAATGAAAATTGAAAGTCTACCAATCGGTAAGTCACGTATTCAAAGAGTAGGAGTGGTCTCTTCAAGAAGTCACACGAGCTCACTATTCTCTGTGATTCTTGTCCCCATTGTCACCCCTATGATCCCAATCTCCAATAAGTCAAATATTATCCCAATCTCCAACACCTGCGACACAAATCTCTACTTCAACTTCACTAGCTCTTCTGGTTGCCAATCACCTCCCAATTCAACTTTTTCAGCTATTTCTCTACTTCTACTCCTTTAATGTGTGGTATGTTCAGTGCCCTCCAATTCATGGGAGGTTTTGTAGTATCTCTTACGAAATTTAATCAATTTTGATGATGCACAAAATAGTTTTGCACACCACCTGTCAAGTGTAAATAATAAATACAAGAAATAATATAAGGAGATGAAGAGACACAAGCAATTTATAGTGGTTTGGTCAACTTGACCTACATCCACTATTGAATGACTCTAGTTGTCGAATATTTTATTAATTTAAGGGTGTGGAGAGTAGAGAGTACAAACTTTGAGGGAGAGGAGAGAGTTAATGCTCAGGTGATGTGTGATGCCCAGGTAATTAGTGTGATCTCTCCAAGTGTTGGTTGGCGTGCAATTTATAGTGACCCCCTAACAGGTTGGGGCTACTTTTTAGCGACTAAGCAACCATTTCGATGAAGCTCGCGATCTCTTCTCAACGAGCGAGGTGGTTGAGGAGCTCTTCATGAGATGCGGTCAAAGATATGGTGAAGGTGGACGGTTTCCTTCGGCTGTGCAGGTATGGCTTCCCATGCTCTCCCCCTTGATGAAATGGCCAAGCAAAAAGTCTAACTTGGTCTTAGAATATGTTGGGCTTGGTGGATCTTTAAATGAGGTTGGGCTTCTTAATTGGGATTTGGACTTTGCACATAGATTGGCCCATTTTGGGCTTGTCCCATCATTTGCCCCCGCAATGCCCCGTGTTCAAGGAAAGCTTGGAGAGGGAGGCATTGACTCTTCATTTGTATATTTTTGGCTTTGGTGCAAACTCCAAGTCTTTCCCACTTTTGCTTGAATTTTGAAGAGGGCCCATAATTTTCAATTTGGATTTTTTCCTCTTTTAAAAACCCTAAACTATAAATATAGTCTTCTTCTTCATCCTACCCTTTTTACTCACCTTCAAAATTGGAAACCATTCTTGAAAATCTTGAGAGCCCAAGTTCTTTCCATTTCTCTTGCCTTGAGATTGAGCATCCATTCTTGAGAACTTTGAAAACTCAAGTCCTACCCACTTTGTTGAAACTTTGAGAGGGAAAAGTGTGTTTTTCTTGAATCCTTCCAAGAGTGGGATTTCTTCCTTTCTAGTGGATTTTTTCAAATGGGCAATGTCGATTGAAAAGGGAGTGATGGATATTGAAGAAAGGGAGGAGGTAGACACCATTTTAGGCGCTGGTTTAGGAAGCTTGGAGGCTGGTTTGAACCATTCGGGTGTTGTCCTGGACAGCTTTGGTGCCAAAAATGGTGGACTAGACAGCCTAGGCCGAAAATGGTGGGTTGGACAGCTTAGTTTCGCAAACTAATCGGCTGGAAAACACTTTCGCGCGAATTAGTGCGCAAGGAGGCGGTCTGGGCAGCACTGACAGACTGGGCAGCGTGCAAGGAGGTGGACTGGGCAGTGCAAGGGAGTTAGACAGCACGCAGGATGGTTTGGACAACGCACCTAATGGACTGGACAGCGCGATTGATGGACTAGACAGCGCGTGTGCAGTCTGGAGGACTGGGCAGCATGCGCGCGACGCCTAGTGGGCTGGGCAGCGCTGTGCAGGCTGGAAAAAAGGTTGTCCAGGCCAGCAGAAGTGCAGTAAGGGAGTTGGGCAACAACCTGGGTGTAGGGGCAGATCTGAGCGCCACTCCAGGCGCTGATTCAGGCATCGTAGGTGCTGATTTTGGTGCTGAAAATACTGTTTTGTGCAATTTTGAAGGGTCATGCAGCTCTCCATCTACTGGGCAGCTCCGTTTTAGCGAGCAAAGGCAGTCAGGCATCCCTCCAAGGGTTGGGCTAGACATTACAAGCGGTAAGGAAGCTTTGGGTGCTGCTTTTGATGATCAAGATCCGACTGTGACTCTTCCGATTCAAGTTCCTCAAAACTTCCCAAATGGTGGTTTAGACTACTCCCTACGGCCTTGGAAGAAGAAACGCAAAGCCAAAGTGGGACTCGATGATGATGGGTCTAAGGTGAGTACCCTTTCTAGTCTGTTTCGTTTAGATGAAGATATCTCGAGGCTTGTTTTTACTTATCGCATTCCTCCGACCGTGCTGTGCCGTTAGGCTGAGTTGGGCGAGCTTGCTTGCGATGAATCTTTCTGTGATATTGTTGTTTATGAGGAGATGCTTGAGGCTGGGTTAAGATTCCCCATGTCCTCTCCCATTTGTCGAGTTTTGCACTACTTTTCCTTGACTCCGGGGTGACTAGCGCCCAATGGTTAGAGAGTTCTGCTAGGCTTTCTTGCATTGTAGAGAAAAGTGCACCATGAGAATGTTTTCCTATGGAGTTCTATGCAGCATATAATTTGAGCGAAACCTCTGCACCAAATAGGGGGTGGTACTACTTTACCACAAGAAGTGGTACAGTGCTAACGGGAACGCACTTTAATTGTGGTGGCTGGAAATCTTGCTTCCTCTTTGTTGGTGGAGAGTGGGCTACAGAGGCTGACAGAGCTTTGGTGTCAACACATTGGGGTGCTGCTAGAAAACCCGGTGCGCTGCACATTTTTTTTTTTCTATATATATATGTATACATGTATGCTCACCATTCCCATGCAGACACGCCTGTGCTTTCTCGAGACCAAGAGTGGAAGTTGGAGGCTGCCAAGGCTTGCCCTTGCAAAGATTTGGGAGCTCTCCTGCCCAAGGATACTAAGGTTGTTGCTCCCTCTCAGAAAATTCGGTAGTTCCTCTTCGAAGAAAAGGGGTGAGCTAGTTTCCTTTTTTAATTCTCTTCTTCCCTCAGTTTTTCCCATTTACCTGACACTTCTCTACTCTTGCAGCAAGTAAGAGGGTGGTGGTGTCCCGTTTCTCTAATAGGAGCCCTCCCTCTTCCAAAGTGGCAAGGACGGATGATGCCCCCCAAGTGACTCCCATGGTGGTTCCTCCTCAACTGGTGACTTCTCCAATTGCTACTCCAGAATCTTCCTTAACTGGCACATCCACCCCACCTTCATCCCCTCCTCGTGCTACCCCTCCTTTGTCCCCTCCTCATGCTAGAACTTCTACCCAAGTGCCGATTTGGGCTGGTCCTATGATGGGGAGACCGCCAGCCATCAGGGCAAGGCTTGGGAGGTTTGTGTTTGGACCCGAAGTTTCTTAGCTTAGTGCTTCGGGTACTGATAGGATCATCAATACATATTTGGAAGGCTTGGCTCAGGTAAGGGTCCACTATTTCCCTTTCTCTAGTCGTTTCCTGTGTTTTTGACTTTTCTCAATCTCTTATCTCTTTTTTTTTTGTTAGGTTTCGACTTCCTCTATCTGCTTGCTTTTGAGGGCCTACAATCAGGACAAGCTGAAGCTGGATCTCAGCCTTATGCAAAGGGAGCTTCTTACCGCTCAGGGGAGGATTGCCAAGCTTGATTCTAAGCTTTTGGCAACCTGTGAGAGGGACGCGCTCCGGGAGGGTGAGCTTGTGGCGGTTCATGAAAGGGCTTCCAATTTTGAGTCTGAGCTTTTGGCGACCATGTGAGGGACGCGCTCAGGGATGGTGAGCTTACTGCAGCCCATAAGAGGGCAACTAAGCTTGAGGCTGAGCTTCTAGCAGTTCGCGAGAAGAATGCGCTCAGGAAGACTAAGCTTGCAGA